GTAGAGTAGGAATTGTATGTAGGTCATTGTAAAAATACTTATTTTAGTAACTATGGGAGACTAGTAGAGAGTTTTGAACTGAAGAATGATATCATCTTAAATTATTCTAGGTAATGTAGTTTGTAAGCAAGACATTCAGAGGAAACACTAAAACAAAACTTATAATCTTAGCTTCACTTTCTTCTTGAAAGGAAAGCTTAAGACAAAGGCTTCTATTCAGTTAATTAGTAGGGAAATTATTTCAGGAGGCAGAAATGAAGTTTCAGAAAAATAAAACAGGTAGCTAAGAAAACTAATATGAAGCTGTACTGTTTGCCTTACAAGTACTATTACAGGTACTGGCACTCTGTCTTGCTGGGACCTTCTGTGGGATCATAGAAATGAATCTCAGAAATGACTGCCTGATAGATAAAAAAAGATATAATTTATCCTGGAGTTCTTACCTTCCACAATGGTCAAGAGTGGATCTATATTGTATTAATTCCTCAGCACTCCTGGGTTTTGCATTTTTTTAGTAGTGAGTAATTTCCTGCAAACTTCATCTCATGTGTCAGAGAAGTCCCTGGACAGGAAGATGTCTCAACATAGGCTAGGGCAAAATGCAGTCAGGGTAGTACTCTGTGAAGCTGCTGGACCACTCAGAATGAGTCACTTAAGTAATGACTAGACCAAAAGACATGACCTGGAAGATGTGCACTATTGTATAGGAAATATAGATTGTGGGCTATGGATTTCCAAATAATACATCTTCTGTCTGGATATTCTTCTAGGAAAGAATAGTTTTGCCATCTCTTTGATTAATTTTTTTCATTACAATTAAAATTTAACAAAGAGTTGTTTTTGCTTCCTCTTTTAAAAGAACTTATGATAAAATTTATCCTGGATACAAATCACATGCTGCTTTTATTCTTGATGAGGTAATAGTAGAGAGAGACAGTGTGTGTGTTTCCTAGGTATTTTAAGTGTTAATTACATACAAATGTTCCTTTGTGGCATTGAAAATAATTATGTATTAACTGTGCTGAATCTATTTGTATCTTCAAAATTTTAACGTCTTTAAAAAGAGTATCCTAGCAGAAATATTAGGATGTAATATATGATTACAACTACTATTAGCAATGATAATTTATATACAGCATAATTTGGTATTAGCTCTGAAAGCATTCCCCAAATAACTGGAAATAACTGGATACCACAAACCCAAGCATGAGCACAATTATTTTAATAATATTACATATCCAGTGCTGCTAGTTCGTTTTGTTTGCTTTTCTATACGTGTGCAAAAGTGTTTATATATATGTTGAATGTCTGCCAATGCCGGGTTCTGTTAAAAGTACTGGAGATAGAGAAGTAAACAAAACTAACACAAATCCCTTCCCTCATGGGCCTCACATCCTCAGGGAAAACTACTTGAGTGCACTGAATTATCGATGCCTTTTTAAGGGAGGCTGAATATTATTTGACACCATATGTTATGCTGAAGCCACCACAAAATGTGTCATCTTGGAAAACAAACTTTTCTCCCTTCAAAGTCCCACCTCAGTACTATTCATTTCTTTAAAATTTTTTTTTAATGTTTATTTATTTTTGAGACAGAGAGAGACAGAGCATGAACGGGGGAGGGTCAGAGAGAGAGGGAGACACAGAATCTGAAACAGGCTCCAGGCTCTGAGCTGTCAGCACAGAGCCCGATGCGGGGCTCGAACTCACAGACCGCAAGATCATGACCTGAGCCAAAGTCAGACGCTCAACCAACTGAGCCACCCATGCGCCCCAAGTACTATTCATTTTTAAATACATGGTGGATGGAGTAGCCCCAGGACTGTGGACAAACCATTAACTTCTATGTTTCAATTTGCTGAGCTGTAAAATGTATTGCGAGGTGCAATTGCTAATGTTGCATAATAAAAGATCCTTAACTTTATAACTTTAGAATTATATGCCACTTTCCTGAAATTAGGGATTCAACCTTTACTCTTTTTAGATAGGTCTAAAATGTTGGGGCGCCTAGGTGGCTCAGTCAGTTAAACTTCCGACTTTGACTCAGGTCATGATATCATGGTTCCTGGGCCCGAACCCCACATCAGGCTCTGTGCTGACAACTCAGAGTCTGGACCCTGCTTCAGATTTTGTGTCTTCCACTCTCTCTGCTCCACCCCCATTCATACTCTTTCTCTCTCTTTCAAAAATAAATAAACATTAAAAATAATAATAATAAAATAAAAATAAACAAATAAAATGCAATGGGTTTGGATGACCTGACTAGCTACAAGAAACTTATCCCTTCTTCACTCTACCATCACATTTAGTGGGACATTACAAACGTTGCACATGTAGTTGAATACAATGGGTTTGTCAGATGGAAGGGGAAATTTTGAGGTTGCGGTTATATGAACAGCTGTGTTCCTTTTTCACCTCAGTCAAATGTGTTTCATACTTCTGCAGTGGAATGGTTGGGTTGAATATTTGTCACTGTGCTTTATAATCTCAGTCTATGCCTCTTTCAGTATCACCCACAATGAAGGAGAAGGGTTATGGGGCATTGGGCATGTCACCTAATGAGGGCTGATTTTGTCTGTACACATTTGAAAAAATGTATAATCAAAGATAAAACATATGATTCCTTTCCCTTATGACACACATACAATAACCGATTCTTCTATTGTCTAACATTTTCTAGAACACGACCCTGACTCTAGTGTAGCTCATTTCAAATGGAAAGTTCTAGCACAAAAATATTTCTTACTGTGCAATCTGTTGCAACCTTACCTTCAGTTTTGTATATTTCTTTTTTTTTTTTTTAATATTTATTCATTTTTGAGACAGGGAGAGAAAGAAAGAAAGAAAGAAAGAGAAGGTGCACAAGGGGAAGGAGCAGAGCGAAAGGGGGACAGATGATCCAAAGTGGGCTCCATGCTGACAGCAGAGAGTCCAATGTGGGGCTCAAACCCATAAACCATCATCATGACCTGAGCCGTAATCAAGAGTCGGCCACTTAACAAACTGAGCTACCCAGGTGCCCCATTCCACTTTGCTATATTTCTTTTAATGTCTTAGAGGAAGATAAATGATAGATAGATAGATAGATAGATAGATAGATAGATAGATAGATAATATATAGATAGATGACAGACAGGTAGATAGATAGATAGATAGATAATAGAACCAATGTATATCAAAATATTAGCAATGATTTTAATTAAGTAAAAATCATATGAGTTTGTTATCATATTCTTTGAACATTTCTATAGTTCTCAAGATATTTTCAAAATGTGAAATATCACTTAAAAGTTTTTCTAAGAAATAAATTGTAATGATTAAAAAACAGAAGGAAGACTTATGATAAAAGCGATTGGAAAATATATTAAATGATGGGAATGTATGAGCTTTACTTGAAATCTGTTTTGATCAAACTAGTTTAAACTATTAGATGATTGTAGTTGTTTGAACACACTGACTGGGTATTTGATGATAGTAAGGAATGATTGTGGTTTCTTCATTGTTTCTGTTTATTTAGGACTAATATTGATTTTGTGATGATATTTCTAAAAAGTCCTGTTTTAGAAATACATTTTTAAAAATTTGCAGGTAATATAGGAACTTGGGCATTTCCTTATAAATTATCTGAGGCAGAGGAAAGGGTATGAGATAGGATAGGTACATTGAAACAAGGTTGGCCTTGAGTTGATAATTGAATTCAGTTGATGGGTATGTGCAGGTTATTGTACCATTTCTACTTTTTTTATGTGCTGAAAAGTTTAAATGTAATGAAATTCTATGAACCAGATTATTTGCGTTCAAATATGGGCTGCACATTTATTCACTATATATCCTTGAGCTAATTATTTCACTTCCTGGTACCTTCACCATAAAATGAGAAAATGTCTAAAATACACATCTCTATAATTTTAATCAGGATTAAGGGGGTTAATACATGTACACTCTTAATCGGGACTGATCCTAAACAAGCACTGAGTAAATGTTTTCATTGTTTCATTGTTTTCAAATGTTTCATTGTTTTTCAAATGTTTCATTGTTTTCAGATTTGTTTTTCTCTTCAAATTTAGGCTAAGGCTAGTATTTTGGAAGAATGCAATTTACCTGAGAATTTCAGTTTACTTTAGTCAAAAATTCTCCAATTTTTGTGGAAATAATAAGTAAGAAACAATTATTGCTTCTCTGAGGGAATATCAATCTTAGGCAGAACAAAATAAACCTACACAATAATAAGAAATAATGAAATATTTTGAGAGATGAAGTAGCTTAACTGTAATTATAATTAATGGGGAGAATCAACTAGTTTGCAAAGAAATTGCTGTTCAAGAATATTATTTTGAAGGCTAATTCAGCTTTGAGCCAAAATCTATTGCCATTATAATATAACTCATATTGATTGGAATTTTATCTCTGCTTCACACACTTTAGCCATGAAATCATAGTACTTAATTTTTGTTTCATTTAAATTGGCTAATCCACAATGTATTATTTTAAAGGTTTTGTAAATTTTCAGTAACGAGTTTAGTTATATATGACTCATTTTCATGTTTTTAAACTAGCTGTTTTTAAAAAAAAAAAACATATCTTAAGTAATCAAAAAGAGTAATAGGAAATATTTCACAAACCTGATGAGAAATGGTAAATTAATTATTGAATTGATAAATTATAAATAAACAATTTGAATGATTTTGCAATTTACCACCTCTGTGCAGTTGATAAAACTAATAGAACAATAGATCATTGTCTTTATAGTGAGAAACTGAGTTATGTATTTATAGACTATGGCAAATATATTTATCAGTTACTATAATGTATTTCAGAAGATAAATATACAAAAGTAGGGTGAATTTTGATATGTGATGTGTGCACATAGTACAATAAAGTAAGGGAAGTATTAGTCATTCATTAAATTACAATTAGTAAACCACTTTTGTATTTTATAGAAGCAATTTAAACATTCAAACTGTGAGTCCTTTTTAGCTTGTGTATTTAGAAAGAGTACAATGGCCATTGATATAGAGAGGACTATGTCATTTCATCTCCATATCCCACTGGCTGAGACAGTTAGTTTCTTATACTAGCACATAAAAGGCCTGAATATGTCCTTAATTTGAATTGTAAAGGAGTTGAGTATGAGAGAGTCTTTAAGTTAGAAACATAATATATTCTCTGGCAAGAACTGAAGTTTAGATCTTCATATCAGCACTTCAGCAAAAGACTTGAACAATGTTTCAACATGTAAAATTTATTTATGTCTAACAACATTGACATTTAAGGTTCAGTGAAACAGCAAGTAAATTTAGAGTTGAGAAAACCTAAAAACCACAAACATTTTGCTATTTTATGCTTCATAAATGAAAGCTAATAACTGACTACATTTTTCATTTTTTCAGTGGTTTGATTATATAGCCATCTTTATTTACTGTGAGCATGATGAAAGCAATCTGCTTATACAGTTTAATCCTTTTCAGTTTAGGCAAATAACTTGCAGAAAAGAATCCTATTTTCTAAAGACTAGAGAATTTTTTTTAAAGTTCGACTTAAAATGATATGGGTCAAGATGAAAACATTAGTCAAATGAAATCTACTTGGGATGAGTATGTTACTATTTAGATATTTAAAGAAACAAGCAAACAAAAATACCAAACTTGAATATTTGTGCACCAATATGGACTTCTTCATGCAGGACACATTTTAGGTGTTGTTTAGAATTTACAAGTTTTATATTAACTAAGCCATTGCCAGAAGTCAGCGGTTGAATCAACATAACTATATGATTTTTGGTTTCTTCTTTGCCAACACAGCACAGGAAATTGTTCAAACAAGGGGCTTCTATTTCTCCGTCTGATTTGCTTCTGCACATTTTTGCTACTCTTCCCACCATTCATCTTGGCTTCTTGTGTTAATCTTTTATGCTCTTCAGCTCATAATTTCTTCTGACTTAGTCTGCTGGCATTTGCTTTATTTTTCTTTGTTATATTCTGTTTCTAACTCTAATTATTATGCTAAAGTTGACAACTGTCAGAACAAAGTCAATTTAGGGAAGAACTAATTGCTCCTTCCTTGCAATTTTAATTTTTAGGATTATGCTGAGAAGGAGAACACCATAGCAAAAGCTCTGGAAGATCTGAAGGCCAACTTTTACTGTGAACTCTGTGACAAGCAGTACTATAAGCATCAAGAGTTTGACAATCACATTAATTCATATGACCATGCTCACAAGCAGGTAAGAAACAAGTGTCCAAAAAAATCTGATATTTCTGTACTTGTATAATAATTTAAATGGTATAAACTATTTAAATATGATACTTTTATTATTTTTTGTTACATAATTTTTATAGATGTCATTCTGGAATGATAATTTGATGACTTAAGACAATTAAAAACAAAAAAAAAAGCACCAAAGGTAAAGTCTGAAATAAATAACCAGCACAAAAAAATACCAGTGAGTTGCCTTTTAATAATTGATAGTAATTTTAAAATTATATTCTACAGGTGGTGATCCTCTAAATGTCTTCAAATTTATTATTTTTAAGTGTTTTAAACAACTAATGATATTTATTAAATGTAAATAAATTTATTCATTATTCTCTAGAGAAACCATTTCCCATTTGAACTACCATTACAATATGAAAAACAGCTAATTTAACATGGTAAAAATAATCCATGCTTACTGGTGAAACAAGTACTTAATATGTGTATAATATAGTTCATTTTAATATTATTTTCATTTCCCTATCATTTGTAAATCCAAGATTGATTTTTTTCAACACTCTATATAAAGATGTGTTTAAAATGGTGATGTCCAAAGTGAATAGTACAATTTTCTCACATGTTTTACATTTATCAGTGCAACTTCATATATTTAGCTAACTTGATATGATATAGCAGTTTTACTTATCACTAATTTATAAATATTTTCCTTTTTGGGGCGCCTGGGTGGCGCAGTCGGTTGGGCGTCCGACTTCAGCCAGGTCACGATCTCACGGTCCGGGAGTTCGAGCCCCGCGTCAGGCTCTGGGCTGATGGTTCAGAGCCTGGAGCCTGTTTCCGATTCTGTGTCTCCCTCTCTCTCTGCCCCTCCCCCGTTCATGCTCTGTCTCTCTCTGTCCCAAAAATAAATAAACGTTGAAAAAAAAAATTAAAAAAAAAAAAATATTTTCCTTTTTGACTCATCACTCACAAATGTCATCTACATATCATTTGGGTATTAATAAAAGGTACATTTTGTAACTTTTTTTAATGTTTATTTATTTTAGAGAGAGAGAGAGAGAGAGAGTGAGTGGGGAAGGAGCAAATAGAAAGAGGGAGACACACAATCCAAGTAGGCTCCAGGCTCTGAGCTGTCAGCACAGAGCCCGATGTGGGGCTTGAACTCACCAACCACGAGATCATGACCTGAGCTGGTCGGACGCTTAATCGACTGAGCCACCCAGGCGCCCCATAAAAGGTACATTTTTAACCCATGAATTTGCACTAACTTTCCATTAACATTAGAGGTACTTAGCATAAGAAAGCAAAGGGGGAAGTGATCATGTTGAGGGCTTATGAATCAATGGTAGATGTGTTTTCTTATGCTGTTTCTTTTGTTTCTTTTTTGTTTTTATTCCTTCTGTTCTTTCATGCCAACAAAACTATGCTTGAAAAGGCTGTTGTATGGAGTATATTAGCCTTCATTTACATGTATCACTAACTAATGCATACTAAACTCAATGACCTGCCCTTGCCTTTTTTTTTTTTCCAGGTCCACTTGCACACTAGTTAAGGGAAAGTTTTTGATGGAAATATCATTTTTTTCTTACATAATAATACATAATATATACGTATGTATGCATAATATATCAATATTCACATATTGATACTTGATTTGAACATTAAAATCCATCAGGAAATAGTATTGACTTAATTTTACAGTTAGTGGCATATATTTTATAAAAAGATTCTGGAATGCCTGTCTGCATCTAACTCTGAGGTAAATCTGAGAAAGTTGTTCTTCTGATTTTTCCTAAGTATCTAAAAGCACAAGATATATATTACATATATGTTTCATTGTGTATTGGGAAACATGTGTATATATATTTTAAGAATATCTTACCAGTTATTAATATCCTTTGCCAAAGAATGTTTTATTTGATCATAGATTTCCTGGAAGATCAAACTCACAAAAATTATCATGAAGACCTTTCTAGTTCCAAATTCTTAGTGTAGTTAGGATACTATATACTGTACACAGATAAGCTAAGGAAATTCAGGCTGGGTCTGCATTGTTATTTTGAAAGTCCAAAGAGTCACTTTGATAATATGCAGAGGGATCAGGGCCTAGAGACAGGGTATCTATCTGAATGGCCATGAACTCTGATAGACTGTTTTAGTTGATTAATTTAGCATGAATCAATGTTGTAGTAGCTGAAAATATTTAAAATCTCTATGATCATCATAACCCCTCTCTGTAGGATAGTGACAAATCTTTTGGCATGTCTTCCAAAAATATATTCTTCCTTTTCTGAGCAACAGCCTCACCCTCATGACTGCTACCAGTGGTGCTACCACATGATTCCACACCTTGACTACTTTGAATGAAGTAGGAGAAATGAAATTTGTAGGTAAATAATTCAGATCTTTTTCTTGAGAACTTAAAGTTGAGATACAAAAAAAAAAAAATCTGTCTACTGTCTGACAATGGTTAGATCTAACACTTGAAAATATAATGGAGTTGTGGCTAAGTACATTGAAAAGTTGAGAAAGCTGGTTTGCAAAAAGAACAAAAACAATACACAAAGAATGAGATGTGAGTGGCCATGTGACAAGTGAAGGAGCGTATGGAAATGGCAATACTGATTTTGAGTAGCTTTCAGATAAAAGTAATCCTTCCAACAACTTATGTATAGACCCTTTCCTGGGATTCTGAGAGATATTTCACCTTGCTACATATAAATGAACTTAAAGGAAAAACATAACAAACCCTGGATTAATACTTATTACTTGCAACCAAAACAAAACAAAACAAAACAAAACAAAACAAAACAAAACAAAACAAAAACACATTAACCTATTTGAGGAAAAAAGCAATCACTTTGGTTTCCAATAGAAAAAAAAAAACCCTCCACAAGAAACAAAGTCCATATTACCAGCACTTAACTTTCAGGTAGGAAAACCCTACATGTGATTTGGATACTTCCTGAATGGAATCAAAAAAGACAAAGAGACCACAATCGATGCATTGCTATACAGATGTGATTCCAAGGGCCACCACATTCAGGGAGAAATGGAGGAGTTATTGGTGGAATGAATCCTAGCCCTACCATTACCAGCCTTGGGTAAAATATGCGAAGGCTCGATTAACTCAAATATTCATTGTTAGGGACAATAAATGAGAGAATGAGCATGACCACACTTTGCAGAGTATATGGAAAATAGTAAAAGCTTAAGATTTAACTAGTTTCATTATTACTACTTACTAAAATTTCTTTTCTCCTAGAATGTTTGGGACACTGACACTTTGCCTTTGAGACTGCCTTTATTTAGGCTTCCCAATAAGGATCTATTTTTGCTTCAAAAAGGCTAATAAAGTCTAAAACATATCCAGGTAATCTTGACCTAAGAGCAGTGTGCCTGCCTCGTGTAGCTTTGCAAATCTGTGTTATGACAGACTATGTGTTGCATTTGAACTCTAAGCTTCAAAGGAAAATCTGTTTCTCTCATCCCCATGCTCTTTGGGTAACTTCAAACTCTCTCTCAAGCTCTCATCGCTAAGACTTGCTAACAGAGAATTAAAAAAGAGGAAGAGGCACAGGTGTACAGAGGTGATCACAAGTTCACAATTCAGGGTTCATTTTTAGAATATTTTCTTTTTAACTTTGAAACTTGAAAGCCATTGGATTATAACCCTTTAATGGCAAGGATTATTTCTTTATGTCTTCATTCCTCACAGCATCTAGTGCAACATCTTACACAGTTTAGACACCTAATTAGTGCTTCCCATATGAATATAAAAGGGCTACAGTCAAAATTGCATTTAAGATTTTGTAATAAGCCACAGTTTCGAGATAGAGAAGCACTGAGTAGTAAATAGCATTGTTGAATCTTTATTCTGCACACTGGAAACAAATATAACAGTATGTTAATCATACTGTTAAAAATGATTAGAATAGTTGCCAGTGAAGTTATGTCATTCTGAATTCTTGTCAGTGAGATTAAAACAAAAAAAATTTTTTTAAGTGGGAAACTCAGCATCTGGTAAAAAGAAAAAGTTTTCCTCTAAACCCTTGACCTATTCATCTGCCTTTAAACTAAAGCCACACTGTGTCTGTCTTCTCACCCGGCAGCCTATGGGCAATTCAGAGTTATTTTCACTGTAAGAGATTTGTCACACTGATGCTATGAAGAGATAGGAAAGGGAATTATTGCCTTATTGCTGCTGCCCCACAAACATTTTGATTTTTGCTTTAGCGGCTTCAGTATGGCTGAAGTATCTCCCAAAAGGCACTGAAGTGACCTTCCCCAGCAAGTCAAGATTCGGTGCTTTACAGCATGCTGTTTTGTTCTCTGCTCCAGAGGAAGTCACGGTCGGGCCAGGTTGTTGGAATTTGCTGGTCCTGCAGGGACTTGTATTGCTATAAAAATGGAGCAGATTTATTCTCAAATGTGAACATTCCTAGTAATTTAAACTTCTGTTCACTAATCTGATACTTGAGAAAAGAATCACTTCTTGATAGTTGGGTCCAAGTTTTCACCTGCAAAATAATATTTAAAAGTTAATAAGAAAATATGAGGTATGCGTAAAGCAATGCATGATTCAATTCATTTCAAACACCTTCCCTGGGATTTTTCTTGTGGTGTGTGCTTCGGTCTAATTGTACCCTTATTATTTTGTTTAATCATTTTGAGGTTAAGAACAACAAAAGGACATAGAATTTCCTCCTGCAGAGCCTGCCCACTGTCAAAAAGTGCCTGCCCCAACAGAAGTACACGTATGTGTCTAGCTAATCATGGAACTGTATTGCTTTGACATTTCCTATTCAGGGGCACGATTTGAATAGAATTAAACAGTAAATCTTGTCCATTATTGAGTTTGAGGCATACTCTGGATAAAATAATCATTTCCAGTATCAGAACTGAAGCCATTTTCATAAACCTTTCCCAGTGAAGTTCAAGTCGTTCCTTTCTAGCTTCCACCATCTATTAGGCTGATGGTGGCTGTCTGTTGAGTAGTCATTGTTGAGGGTG